TCTGCGGGCATTGCACAACACGGGTGCACTTACATACATGCAGGCAATATATACATACACATAAAATAAAAAATAAAATATTTTTAAAAACTAAAAACTTATTAAATTAGAAAGTAAATTTAATCATGCATTTGATTCACCAAAATACAAATAAATAAACTAAGCATGTAGCATTTTTGATACTGCCCAGTCCACTGTCTCTTAGGGTATACTAAATAAATTTTTCTTTTGAAAAAAAAATGCTTAAAGAAAATAATAAAACAGAAGATCTAAGGATAACAGAACCTTGGTCAGAGAAGCTACTTTTTGCAGTGGGTGGTAGTTAATACAGAGGCTTGAACACTGCAAACGTGCTGATAACAAGTGTCTATAAGTGCTCAGCCCTAAAAGGAACATTTATATCAACACTCCAACACACAAGGCTCAGGGAACATCACAGAAGAGCGGGTACTAAGTCCACAAGAACTGGATGATGGGAAAGAGTGTTATAAAGTGCTGTCTACTGGGCATGACACAGCTCCTATGCACATAAACTCATAGCTATGTGATTATCTGCACAAGACCTGCACAGAATCAAGCCAGTCACAATTTCAGCATGGATGGGGGAGTGTTCATGAGACCCCACCTCTAGCTGAGGAGCTTTTAGCAGCTGATGGTAGCTAGAGGAGGGGTAGTGATTTTTCTTTGGGTTTGTAGCCACCCATGCCTCCAGTGGATGGCCCCATATCCATGCATGTATAGGCAATTCTATTTAGACAAAGTAGGATTTGAAAAACCAGAGATGAAGTTGGTAAGGGGACATGTTGGGGGATGAGGAAGTTGGAGGGGACAAATGGAGGGTGGACCCTCCTCCAAAGGCTCAGGGATCATCACAGAAGAGGGGAGGGAGTGGAAAGATTGTAAAACCCAGAGGTGGTGGATGCCTAAAATGAAACAGTGTTTTCTGAACACAACAGGGCAGATGCACATATGAATTCACAGTGACTGTGACATCATGTCCATCAAGGAGTGGAGAGGTGGTCACAATGTCTCACCCCTAACTGAGATGCAACTGGCAATTATTAACTGCTTGGAGAGGGAGAGCCAGTTATTTTTAGGTATATGGCCCCTGGTAGACTGACCATGTTCCAATAAATGGTCCATATACCCAGGTGTATACGGGCAGGACAAATTGGTCATGATGTTCTTCTTGGTTTTTTGTTTGTTTGTTTGTTTTTTTAATTGAATTTTTTGTGTATTTCATACAGAACAGCTCAAACAATCATCTTTATACCCCCATCCTCAGTGGCACCCTCCAATATCCCCCCACTGGAACCCATATGCTAGGTCATCCCTGTTAAGGCCCACTGTGTTGTCAGTGTCCCCAGCCATTCCCCAGTGCAAGTCTGTCCACTAAGCCTAGTCAGCCTATCTAAAGTCCCTTACTTTAGGAAGATCAGCTCTTCTTCATCTAGCAGCAATCAGTTGTCAGCATTCCTTCAGATAAGATTGAGGTCTGCTGTTCATTTTTCCAGTTCTATGCTGGGTTATTTTCTGCCTGAGTTAACATGGGACTTATGTATGCTGATACTATTGCCATAGACTTATATGAGCAGGTTCCCAGGAGCTTGTAGGACTCTGTTTCCATATGGTCATGCACCTCCTCCATGGCTTTTACAATCTTTCCTGCCCCTTCTTCCGCAATGGTCCCTGAGCCATGAGTGGGTGAAGTTTAATAAAGGGGTTCTGTCCAAGGACCATCATTCAGCAGACTCAATACTTTGGCTATTTGTGACTTTTTGTGTTCCCGGCCCTCTGCTGCATGAGGAAGCTTCATTATTGAGAACTGAGTATGTATCCTTATATTTACAGACAAATATCCTAGTCACGACTCATCAAAGAAGCTCATTTTGCACCAGTCAAGACTATAACCAAGTACTACAACTGGTCACACACAGACATTGTTTATGAGTTGCCCAGGCCTAAGTGACACATCTACAATGCAGCCTCTACACCTAAGGCTCATGGAACATAGAAGACAAGATAATGAAGAGGACATTGATGTGATTTTTTTTTTAAAGAGAACACAAAGGGAGGGGTATAAGAGGGAAGACGTTCTGGGAAGAGATAGAGGAGGAGTGGGGGTAAATATGATTAAAATGCATTATACAAAAGTCTCAAAGATTTAATAAAATATTAAAATAAAGAAATGGAGGATGGTATGACAGTTATACATTGCATGCATGAATGAAATTCTTAAAGAATAAATTTAAATAAAATATTAAAAAAATAACTGGAGGGGCTGGAGAGATGGCTCTGCAGTTAAGAACACTGGTTGTTCTTGCAGAAGACCCAGGTTCAAATCCTAGCACCCACATGGCAGCTAACAACTGTCCATAACTCCAGTTCCAGGGGATCCAACAGCTTCTTCTGACCTCGGCGGGCATTGCACGACGCGGGTGCACTTACCTACATGCAGGCAGTACACACACATAAAATAAAAATAATAAATAATTTTTTAAGTTTAAAAAAATAATTGGAAAATAAGGAAGACAGCTGACACTGAACTCTGGTTTCCACACACTCACACACATGCATGCATACCTGAACACACACACACACACACACACATGCATGCATACCTGAACACACACACACACACATGCATGCATACCTGAACACACACACACACACGCATGCATACCTGAACACACACACACATGCATGCATACCTGAACACACACACACATTCATGCATACCTGAACACATATACACACACATGCACACACATGCATGCATACCTGAACACACACACATACATGCATACATGAACACACACATGCACACACATGCATGCATACCTGAACACGCACACCACACACACACACAAAGAAACCAGAATTTATTGGAGATGTGGCTGGATCCAGGTCTAAGGTAGGGAGCAGACAACAGAGTGGACCCTCATTGGAAGGCAAGACAGCAATTATAGACCATATCAGAAGTCCTAAAAAAGGGCTTTCAGACAAGGGTTTTCTCCCTGATCTCACCTTCTCAATGACTCTCTACACCTTAGAAACAATTTGCAAAAGGCCTTGGAGAGAATGCTGCAAGAAGGAGAGGAAGGTAAAGTGGTCAGTCACTCTAGGGCACCAGGAGCAACTGAACAGAAAGTGTCTCATTACCTCCACTCAACACAAGTTGACCCGCATTTCCCAGGAACAGAAAGTAGCTCAGCTGGGTTCATTCCCCCCTGTAGGGGTCCCAATGACAACAGTAAGCTTGCCCCACACCACAACACAGGAGATCAGTTGGGACACTGACTGAAAACAAGTAGCCAAGAAATGGCTTTTCCACCACTAGCGGAGGTGAGATGGGGTCCTGGTGTGGACCAATAAGGGAGTTCCTGCCGTAGTCAGCCCTGTGCCTCGAGGTTGAGCAGCCTGGAGCCAGCATAGAGGTTATGATACCACCAGTGGCGTCATCTGGAAACACCATCTGTCCCTGTAGCCAGAAGGCCTTGACATGACCAGGGCTGTTTCCACTAAGTCCTCTGCTCCTATTGTCCAAAGCTTGGGTCTCTCACATGGGGGACCAGACAAT